TCATAGATACATGTAGACTCAAGGTCATAGATTGAGCACTTCAGCATAACTGTCAATGATGGTGAGGGGAGTAAGAATAGGGACCTGGATAATGAAGAAAATAAAAATAATAATACAAGAAAATGACTTCGCAAAGAGTGATGATAATTATATTCTACAAACAGAGGAAGATAATTAATGCTACTCTCTAAACCTAAAGGCCCACCAACCAAATTAAAGAAATAAAATACATGAATAAAACGAAAGATCATGACTATTCGTTCAAAAAGTAATTTAGGGAATTATATGTAACTTACTCATTAGTATCTTAAATGTAATTAGTCTATCTGAGAGCCTAGTCAGTACTATTATCACTGATCAGAGAATAGAATAGGTGACGGTTCCTCTGCCCCATCGAAACTTCTCCATCCCTGCACGGTTCCCTCAGAGCCCTGGGTCATTGCACCTAGATGTGGATTGATACATCCCTGCTTCAGTAATGTGCTAAATCTTTCTGAATCCATTTCTTCTCTAGCAGCAGCTCATCCTCTTCTAACAAACTTGTTCTACAAGCAAAATTTCCAGGTACAGGTGAAATCCACAATTCAAAAACAGTCTAGGATCCGAGACTGTTCTCTGAACTTTACAAAGATCCAGGAAATTAGAAAAGAAAACCTAGTTCCTCCTGAGAGAGAGGGATTTCATTTCTTTTCCTGGAATGCAAAATCAAAGCTCGGGGCCCAGTGCAGGGGCTTATACCTATAATCCTATCACTTTGGGAGGCTGAGACAAGAGAGGATCCCTTGAGGCCAGGAATTCACCAGCCTGAGCAAAAGTGAGTACCCATCTCTACAAAAAAGAGAAAAATTAGCTGGTTATGGTGGTGGGCATCTTTAGTCCCAGCTACTTGGGAGGTTGAGGCAGAAGGATCACTTGAACCCAGGAGCTATGATGATGTCACTGCACTCTAGCCCGGGAGACAGAACAAAACCCTGTCTCAAAAAAAAAAAAAAAATTGAAGCTCAGGGATGCGGGGCACAGTGGCTCATGTTTGTAATCCCAGCACTGTGGAAAGCCAAGGCAGAAGGATCACTTGAGGGCCAATAGTTCAAGACCAGCCTGGGCAACCGAGTGAGACTCTGTCTCTACAAAAACTTTAAAAAATTAGCTGGGCTCAGTGGTGTGTGTCTATAGTCCCAGCTACTCAGAAGGCTGAAGCAGGAGGATCACTTGAGCCCAGGAGTTGAAGGTTGCAGTGAGCTATGATGATGCCACTGTTCTCTAGCTGGGGCAACAGAGTGAGATGCTGTCTCAAAGAAGGAGAGGGAGAGGGTGGAAGATGAGGAGGAGCAGAAGAATGAGTAGGGCGAGGATGAGGATGAGGAGTAGGAGAAGAGAAGGAGAAGAAGAAGCATCAACCAAGCTCAGAAAAGCACCATTGAAGGCCAAGTATTAGGGAGAGAAAGGCAAGAAAAGGAAAGGGGTAAAAGCTAAAACACAGCACAGATAGGGAAAGAGAGGGAACTTCAAAATAAAGGAAGAGGCGCCTCACCATAGAACTCAGGCAATGGTGCCATAAATCCCTTTCTTCTCATGAAAATCTTTCTGGAGCTGGAGAACCAGCTTCCAGATAGTTTTCCTATTAAATTCCACAGGTGACTTGCTGAGTGATCAGAGAAGTAGGAGTGGGTTTGGTGGTTTAGTTTTGGATGTTCATATCTGGCTCTTTCTGGCTCTCATTTTACTCTAATTAAGAACAAGTAAGTTCATCTCGCCTTCTGCTGGCCCATCCTCATCAGCAGACCTTCAGGAGCAGGGGATGAAACCTAGGTGACTCTAGGCCTTACCCCATCTGGTCACATGCAGTATTTGGAGAAGCACAACCAGCACAGCTCATGCACCTTAAGTATGGGAGTCCTTCTTACAGTGCCAGTAGACAGCTTTGCAAGCTCAGAGCTGGGAGGGTTGGAGAGACTGAAGCAGTCCTTGGGTTATAAAGCAGTCCTTGGGTTATAATGACTCCCTGTAAAACGCTATTTGAGAACGTGACAAGAGCCGCCAATTAAACAGATCAATGTGTTGGAAAATGAGAGTTGACTGGGGTCTAATTGCAGCCCTCTCTGTGCAACACACACATCAACATGCTTTCTCCCATTCCCAGGCCCCTGTTGGAAACCAGTCAAGTTCTCATCATAATTAGCTCCTATGTGCCTTGAGCTTCCCCCTCTAGAGGTCTCTACATGCATCTCCTCCTCTACTTCATGTTAATGTCTTCTCTTCATTTGACAAACCTGTATGACAAATAAATTGTGCAATCATGGGCTGTGAAAAAAAAATGCAATATTTTTGTTGTCCATAACAGAACTTAGCTCATGAGCCTGCATTTTTTCTCTGTAGCAGAAATCATAGTCTTTCCAAATCAGGGTTCCTCTGTCTCTTTTGGCTTAAATATGGTTAATGTGAGACGTATACTTTCCCCCACCTCTCCTCCTTCCATTCTTGCTGAGGATGTTCGAAATGGCTGTGGTATGAAAACGCAGGTAGTGTCCTGGCTTCTGGGAAGGACATCTGATCATTGAATTGTCCTCTGTCCTGGGTAAGCCCACAAAGGGACCTCCTCTTCTCTGGTCCTCACCATTCATCATCCTGCTACTGCTTCTCATCAGGAGGCACGTGCATTCTGCAGCCTCCCTGTAGAATCCAACCCCAGGTTCCTTAGTGCCTACCATCTTGTTCCCAGCCACTTCTGCAGCCATTGTGGGTGCCATGGGAATTCTTGGAATGCCCTTTGCCTCCACACGGGAGAGCACAAAACTCTGTGGGACTCCACAAGGCTGTGTGATGACCTGCCAACCCAGACTTTCCCAGCCATTGCTACTCTACAGCCCAGGCACCATGTTGGGGGAAGATCCACTTGGTCTTTGGCCAGAGTCCAGGAAGAGAGGCATAAGTGTCTGCTGTTCTTGGAGCTCCTTTCAATCCATTGACACTTTCAATTGCCCAGTCTCACTCCCTCTCCCCTAAATCAGCCCAAGAGCAATGGGATGTTGAGTCAATTCACAGGAACTCAGGCAACACCTAAGTTCTAGCAATACCCGCTTCTCCTCCTTCCCCTGGCTAGTCACATTTTTATCTCCTTTTGAGTGGGAAATAAATTGTGTCATCCTGCCTTCTAAATTCTCAGCTCTCTAGACTTTGGCTCTTGATATTTAAAACCAAGCTTTTTAGAATTAAAAGAAAAAAAAAACATTCAAAATCCTTAGCTTTTAAGATTAGTGTTTATGCTAGGTGGGAAAGAAGATTCCATCAGAAATCCAATGGATTTCTTTATTCCGGCTTCATCCACTTGCCCCCGAGTGCTGTGTAATAAAAAGCTATGGTGCATTCTGAACGGGAGGAGAAGGAAGGAGAAAAGCAAGTGTGGTGACAGGAGCAGGGACTCAAGTTCTAAGTATCTGAACAACCATAACCATCCCCAGAACACCTGTTTGCTCCCTCCCTTCACATGCTCATGCCCTTTACTTAATCCTGCTCCCTCCAAGATTCTGTCTCTACCACCCGTCCCCTGCCGAGACACTCACCACTGGCAGAATGTTGCTGGTAGCCCATGTCCCCCAGCATGTCTTCCCTGACAACACCGTGGTCCTGGTCACTCTCTTGTACAATTAGCAAACCTCCCACAGGCAACCTTCCTGCAGCTGTTGGCATCTGCATGGAGCATCTGGACAGGACTTCTCCACAAACCAACTCAGGCCTCTGAACGGTTCAGGCAGGCTGCAAGGTGGCCTGTTTGCATGAGGGCCCCTGGCCAGCTGGGAGAAACAGAAAAGAAGGCTGTGGGACTGACAGGCTCTCTGGACAGAACAACTTTAAGAAGACCTAAGAAACAAGGAAGGAGAGAGCCACGCTGATGCTCCAACCTGAGAGGGGCTGGTAAGGAGCTGGAAAGAAAGAAAAGCTCCAGGGCATGGAAGGCCAGCCCTGGCCTGCGGCTCAAACTCTGCTACTCCTGTCCAACCTCTCATGTGCTCATAATATTTTTGTTTTTATTTTCTATCTTGATATAAAAATATGATTTTTAAAAGATGGCTGCTGCATAGCAAGTAGAACAATGTTGATGTGGCCCGGTTTTTATAACTCTTTTCAGGTACTTTCAACACTTCCATTGTAACTCCAGCAATTCCAATTCCTTGTTCTTTTGGGAAACTGAGTCCTCCCCAAAGTCAGGGAGCACGTGAGTGTGTTCCTGTGTGTCTCCTCACGCACTCTCCACAGAGGGAGCGCTCGGCAGTGTTATCAACTTGCTAAATGTCAGAAGAGATATCTGGGTTTGGCAAAATGAAAAACTTTACAAGCTGGCTAGGAACTACAGCAAAATATAGAATTATTCCTTAGAGATCTTTAAAGAGGAGGGTGTATTCTCCTCACAAAAGGAGGATCATCCTCCTCCGCCGTCCACTCTTTTCCTCAAGCCTCAATTGCCAGGAGCAGGGCTGGCTGCTGCCGAGCTTCCCTCAGGGCCTGAGGAGAGGCCCGGTTGCCTGATGCTTGGTTTGCCATTTCCAATAATCCCATAATAGCAACACTCTGAGAAGCCAGCTGTGCACTGAGGGAAGCATTCAGCTGCTCCACGGGGCTCCACAAATTAGACCCTGAATTAGCCACACAGAGCTGGATCCCCAGTCGCCCTCCCAACCGCTGGCCCTCCCGAGGTGACCCCCACCGTGCTTGGAGAAAGACCACTCTCAGCTCAGCAGAATGAGGAGAGGGGCCCTGGAGTCAACTGTCAGCAGTTAATATTCCAGGCAAGGAGTTCTAGGAAGGGTTTAAAGAGAAGGGTGTGCTCAGACTGATCATTATAAAAAATTTGGCAGCAGGAATCTTGTTTTCTTATATATTTTTATAGTTTGGGAAAATCTGTGTGTACGTGTGTGTTTGTACGCATGTCTTTGGAACTTTATCTGTGAAAATGCTGTGAGGTCTGGGTTTCCTCAGAGAGGATTTGCATCTCCTTCTGACAGGCTCTTGGAGACACAGCCCACCCAGGACCATCCTAAACTATACTTTTGGATTCAGATGTTGGAGGTTAGAAAAAGGATGTGAATTCCAGCCCTGAATCTGCAGGAAGGTAGGCATGTGGTTAGAAATTCTTTTTTCTACTCTACTTAGAACCAAGACTGAGAGAGGCACTTCCCCACCTCACTCTACAGGGCGGGTTTTACTTTTTCACTAAGAACCTAGCCTTTACGGGCACTAGCAGCTTTATGTGGGGGTCTCCAATCCCACCCATCCTACTTTTATCTGAGATGGTTTCAACTGAGATGATTTCATGTAGATTTCACATGAAACCCAAGGTCTCCTCAGAGGCCCCCAAGCGCACACCAGATTTAGCACAAAGTTAGCTTTCCCGAGTCATGTGTCTTGTCATTTCTGGCCCCCAAGGATTTCAGCTACCTGCCTGCCAGTTTACTCATTCATTTAAAAGATGAATCTTTTTTATTTCATCAGCATTTTTAAGTATTCTATACCAAGAGGTATATAGTCTGTCATCTTACTAGAAACAAATAGAAACTTTAGCCTTTTCGGTTGAGCTAATTAATGCAAGTATAAATAAATAAAACATACCTTTAAAACATATTCAACATTCATAAACTCACAAATCATAAAGGAGGATGCTCTTATTATATCTGATATTTAATTCAGAAGAATACACACACACAGTGGCAGATTGTATTTCCAAGGATGGCCACAACAATGTGTCCCATTCCACGTGTGTCTTACAATGTGGCTTTGGCCCTCCACCCAGCAAAAGGTAGGCTCCATGTCCTCTCACCGTGAAACTGGGCATGCCCTTGGGATTGCCTCAACTCACAGAATAAGTGGAGGTGATGCTATGTGACGTCCAAGGCGAGATCAGAAAAACGCCATACACTCCTGCTTTGCAGGCTTGGGACACTGGCTCTTGATACTGAGCTGCCGTATTCTGAGGAAGCACAAACTAGCTTGTGTGGAGAGCTGAGTTCTCAGTTGACAGCCAGCATCAGCCACCAGACAAATGGGTGAAGATTCCTCTAGATGATTCCAACTTTCCATCATCAGGTTATCTTCCATCTTTGAGTATTCCCAGCTGAGGCCCCACACATCATGGAGCACAGATAAGGCGTCTCTACTGTGCTCTATATGAATTCACGATCCACAATGTCTGAGAGCAGAATAAAGTGGTCCCTTTATGCCAGTAGGTTTTCAGTGGTTTGTTACATGGCAGAAATAACTTAGGGGGGAAATTGCGTGTGTGCATGTGTGTGTGTCTGTGTGTGTGTATGTGTAGATTTAATGAAAGGCATAGAATATGGAATTAGACTTACCCACCTAATGGTTTCATGACTCCAAATAAATCATTTATCTCATACCACTGTTTTTACATCTGATTGAAAACAGTAGTGTTGGTGGTAATAATAATATTCACAATAATACTGGCTCTACCTACCTCACAGTACTGTTAAATTAGCTATGAAAAGCACTTTCATAACTATAAAACACTATGAAGATATAAAATATTATTATTCTAATTTCTGAAATGCTATATTTTTATTGAAACTGAACTAGAATATGTCTGCAACTTCCACAAATAACAGTCTCTGAAAGCATAGAAACAAATCTAATTCTTCTTCCATATGACAGTCCTTCAAGTATGGACTAGTATGGACTTTTAAGTATGGAATAGTCCCCATACCATTCCTAAGGCTTCTTAGGAATGTCCAGGTTAAAGGTCCTTAGTATTCTTTGTTTCCCCAAGGGTATGTCACATGTCATATAGCATCATGTGTTTAGTTGTGGCCTCACTGGGATTCTGCAAAGGTTTGGCTTCTCCAGGTCTCTGGACGGAGGCTAATGAGTGCTGCCCACTCTCAGACAACTCTGCGTGTCATGAAGGAAGCAGACTATCTGCAGCCTGCACACAGTGCCAGGCCACTGCCCCACCCTCAGCCCCACATCCCCATCCCTAAACCAGCTTTGACTCCCTGCTGCTCCTTCTTGCTGTAAACCCGTTAAAAAGGGCCTTGAACAACACACAAACAACAAGAGGGTGGGGGAAATTTACACCTCAAACTTGAACATCAGTGAGATCTCATGTTAGCCTATGGAAAGCATATGAATTAGAATGAAAGGATCATTTAGGTATTCGGTTTAGATAACTTCTTTCTTCTAAAATGCTTAGGGCACTGTACTGGGAACTTTTAATCAATTAACATAGTATAGAGCACAGCTTCTCGAGGGCTTTGCACATGCCATTTCACTCACTTGGGTTCAGCTCTCCCTCCCTTGCAATACAACCATCTCTTGTCTGCTGTACATCCCTGGGGCCCTCTGGTGTGAAGCATAAGTGGAGAGTGCTAAGGAGAAGCAAACTCACAGACGGTAGAGTCAAAGGAAACCGCAGAGACAATCTACTCCATCCCCTTCATTTTAAAGACGAAAAATCTGTTACCCTGAGCAACAACTTCCTCAAGGTCACAGCTAGTTAGGAACAGCACTAGACAACTTTTTTTATTCCTTTCATGTGGAAAGCAGAAGAAAAATGGTACAAGGCTACTCAGCACTCCCAAGAGAGATAGAACTTGAAGGAACAGGACATTTCTGCACAGCTATCTTAGCTTTTGCCATAAAAACCTACAAGTTTCCCAGCGATGAGCAACCATAATGATTAGGGAATGCAAGGACCAACTGCAGACAGGATCAAATAGCTCAGTCAACTGGGTTAGCTCCATCAGTAATGATTTTAAAAGGGTGGGACAAGACAAGGGTTTAGTGTTTTACAGTTAAGTATTGAGGAGGAAAAATTACTTGTTAAGTATTGAGGAGGAAAAATAATTTGAGTGGCACAAGGGAAGATAATTGGGCAGTAGGGATGAACAAGCTGAAATCAAGAAAGAAAAATTAAGGTGCAGCATTATGAGAACACTGCCCAGCACAGACTCCCACAGGGCACCCTGGATACTTCACTGCAGATAATAATCTTTATTTGGCCAATAAAAAGAGCCTGCATGTTTCTTTTCCTTCCTCAGCTTTTGTGATTATTTATAAGATATACATATATATACACAAAGAAAGAGAGACAAAGATAATATTCAAACACTCCTACAGTTATAAAAATCCCTCCCTAAAAGCCTGCTCTATCCTTTTTAATTAATACCAAAAGCAATTAAATCATGGTACGCTTCCATTACCTGCCAAGTTTTGTTATTTTTAAAATACAAAAACATGGTTTCAGATTCTATTATTTTGTCCATACACAGCCTTTCAAAGATGGTTTTCTTGGTTTCCCAATATATGAACTTTCAGCCAGGAAGTAAAAAATGACAACAAAAAAACGAACCTGCTTTGATATGACTTGCTTTTGATTGATAAGGCTCTCCTTTAAGGGATGCCCACCTGCGTGCCCTTTACCTGAGGCCTTCTCCAGAGGGAGCAAGAAAACAGCCAAACAGCAATGGTGGGCAAGGTCACCATCACACCGCAAGGCACACACAAGCCGGCCTTGATAACGGCTCCAGCTGCCCTCCACTAGGCTTTCCTTCCTTTTGGACATTTAGGAACTTAATAGGCACATGTGGCTTCTTGAAAAATATTCTATTTATTCTGCTAAGAGAGGTAGCAGCCCCAATCGTGGGATGAGGGGAGTATTGTTGACTTAGGGCAGACTCAAGTCATCAGCAGCAGAGTCCCCAACACTGTTTGTGACAAACGGAGTTAAGCAGACCTTGAAGGTGATCCTCAAATACAGTTCAAGGTGCCAAACAACTTACCCCAAGGACAAGAATTTTTCGAATGATATAAGCCAGTACATCTAAAGGGTTTTTCAAAAAAAGAAAATATCTGGTGTTCAATGATTAATATTCATAATGAAGAGTCCACAACTTTCCTAGATAAAAACTAGCCAACATCACCTCCTTTAAGCAAAAAGATCTACTTTGACAAGTTGACATTTATCATTAATCCTTGAATAAGCACCTTCATTATATGACAGCACTAAGCCAGCTGCTATGGGAGACACGCAAACGTATAAGCAAATCCTCACCTTGAGAATTTTACAATTTACTGGAGACACAAGACAAATATATGTGAAAAGAGAAACACCAAAGGCAGTGAATGAGGAATGCATTAATGTCAAGTGAGGGAAGGCATCAGCAGCAAACTCTAGAATACTCACATGTACTAGTGATGAGGCCCATACATTCCAGAAACCAAGAAAACACCCACAAGCCAAAGGGAGAAAGAGCAACTGAGAGTTTATCCTGGTGTCAGGAAATACCAAATGCAACTTCTGAGTTGAAATACACTCTGAATCTTTTACTGACAGCACACCTACCCTCACTTCACCCACATCCCAGAACATAATTACCTCCCAGAGGTAGAGCAGAGGTTGCTCAAGATCAGACCACTGCCTTGGGAAGTATGGGCAGATAGAGAGGCCAATGCACCAGGGGCCAACCTTCCCCCAGGCTACGTTAGGCTATTAGTGCTGAGTTTCAAATATTTGCCAAGAGCAACAAAAGGTGTTTTCTCTTCCTCCCTCCACCCTCTCTCTACGATGGCTAATGATTTTCTCCATGGGAGCCCTGGAAATAACCTTCTTTACCTAGACCCCCAAGGTGCCCTGGTTCCTATTAGGCTCTGGTCCGCACCTCTCAGAGGGCACTGAGGTGAGATGGAATTCATTATAGAGCACAGAATCATAGAATCAAACAGTCCCAGTGTCTTGCAGATGTTGAAATCCATCCACAACATTTCCCCAAAATGTTCATCAAATCAATCCAGTGTTGGGGAACTAAATACCCCAACAGACAAATTATTTCATCTTGGAGTGGTCCTGATTGTTGAGAAGTTCTTCCTTACCTGGATTTCCCTAATACTTCCTTAAGTTGCTCCTAATTATAATTCTTGGGTCCACCCAGATCCAATCTAATATGTAAAGAAAGTTCTCAAGTCCTTTTGAGTCATCACTTCTGTAAGAGCAACAAACTTGCTTTCATTTTCCCATTTTCTCTCTTAATGATTTAAGATATCAGTTTGTTTGTATCCCTCTTAAAACCTGATCTCTAAAGATGAAAAAAAAAAAAAAAACACTTGAGACATAAACTGTCCAATGCAAAGTAAAATAGAAACTCTTCACTCTAGATACTTAGGTACTATAATTAATACACTCTAAGTCTGCATTCAACTCTATGTTTTGGCCGCATGGCACATATGTGCCTACTGTAGAATAAAAATTTTTAGCTGCAAGTGCTTTCTACCTGCTGATGAAATAATTGATATTTATTTATTATACCTCCCTTACATAGTTGGGCATTATCCCAGAAACTAGATAAGAGGGTGACATCTTTCATGTTCTTTCCATCCTTTCTACTTGAGCTCCAATTATAGATTCAAATGACTGTTTCAACAATCTAGGAAAAGAAACACTGTTCCTGACCAAGCAATCTCCATGGCAAGATGTCTAGGATGTCAAAATGGCATTCTGTGATATGAGAATAAAGGCTGCAGCAGTCCCAAAGGACCTCAGCACTTCCTGATCTCCACTCTGTACCCTCCCTTCTCATATCCCTAAGCCAATCAGAAGCCCCAGGAGAGGCCCTGAGGGGCAAGTGACCCTCTCTGGCAGCTGAAAGAGAAGAGGGGAGATCTGCATTGAACCAGCCATTCATTTCAGGCCTCTGTGATCACCAGACTGTACAACACTGAAGACATGGACCATGTCCTGTTAAGCATCGTAAGATACTGACTGAATGAGTGAATGAATGAAAGCTGGAACTTTGTATCTCCCTCAGAGTCTAGAATTGTCTGGGAGAGAAAAGGTGTTCAGATACTACTTTAGCATATTAACTCAGTGGTTGCAATCCTAAAATTTTATTACATGTTTTTATAGTGAAGATCAACTTTACAGCTTGTTAGAAAAATAAAATGTGAACATAAAGCTGATTTAGAAATCTTATTACTGTCAAAAATAAATGTAAAAATAAGCTCACATGGAAGTGGAGGAAGGAATAGAAAACATAGGGCAAAAACTTCTGTCACTTTGCTGCAGAAGAACCTCCTACAGCTCTCTCTTCAATTGCTGCATCAAATCCACATGCCTCAGCCTGATGGTAAAGACATTGGTAATTGGGGACCCTCCTTTTATCCCGCTATATCTCCCTCAGCTCACTTCCACCCTGGTGGGGTCAGCCTGAACATCTATGATATTGCCGGAGAGATTGTGGTAGCCCAAAAGATCTTGCACCTCTTCTTCAGCAGGCTCCACTCAGCTTATTTTTTAAGGTAACATTCAAAAAACCTCCTCTG